GAGGACAACTGAGATGTACGGGAGTGGAATGCCTCATCCTGGGAGCAGATGCGGCGGAGGCGAAGGAATTGGGAATAGGGGATAGCATTTTTGCAGGAAGGTGGGTGGGAGGAGGAGTATTCTAGGTAGCTGTGGGAGTCGGTGGGCTTGAAATGAATATCGGTTTCGAGGTGGTTGCCCGATATGGAGACAGAGAGGTCCAGGAAGGGGAGAGAGGTGTTAGAGATGGTCCAGGTAAATTTAAGGTTGGGGTGGAAGGTGTTAGTGAAGTGTATGAACTGTTCGAGCTCCTCGTGGGAGCACGAGGCGGCGCCGATACAGTCATCAATGTAACGGAGGAAGAGGTGGGGTTTAGGGCCGGTGTAGGTACGGAAGAGGGATTGTTCCACACATCTCTTTTGTCCATGTTGGAGTCAAATCTGTCGTGAGGTCAGGAGCTGAGTGACCCTAGTGGAACCTACACAGTGCATTAGTGAGCAGATTACTGCTAAGCAAAGGGCTGTTTAATAGCACTGTTGATGACACCTTCCGTCACCTCACTGATGATCAAGAATAGATTGACAGGGATGGTAATTGGCTGAGACGGATTTGTCTTCAACTTTGTGTATAGGACACACCTGGGCAATTTCCACATTGGTCGGGTAGATGCCAGTTGTTGTAGTTGGACCAGAACAACTTGGCTAGATGCAAGGAATCCATCCAAGATTGTGGCCGAGTAGCAGCGCAGCATTTCAGCTGCTGAGTCCAGGTCTCGTCTGCTTCCATCTACATCTTTTTTTAAAAAATCCTCTTTCCTTTAACTTTTGCTCATTTTCTTTTTGCATTTTACGGTGACTTCATTGGGGCATCAGCAAAAAAGAGAGCAGAAAGGCAGCAACAAGTCAGGGGCGGTGCATTCTGGAATTTAGCAGCAGCAGCGGCGGCAACGGACTCGAGGAACGAGTTCCAAGGGCCTGCAGCAGTGTCAGCATGGAGACTCGAGACTTTGAGAAGGGAAGTCTTATGGAGATAAGACTTTCAGATCTGGGTGCTTCATCCTTTCTTCTTGACTTTTTTTTTGTATTTCTGCTTTTGTTTCTTTTAAAATTCTGTTTTTTGAATTTTAGATGATGATTTTGTTTTTTGTATCCAAGGTTTCTTTTTTCTAAATTCAGGTTTTTGTACCCAGGATAGTACTGGAACATGGTGACTTTGTACTCTTTCACTGTTTTCCTGTATTTGAGTACATGTGACAATAAAACCTAATTCTAATTCTAAGTTCTACAATACAAGTCTTCAGCTGGAATATCGTCAGGACCCATAGCCTTTGCAGTATCCAGTGGCTTCAGCCAGTTCTGTTATCATGAGGAGCATATGAAAATGTATTGGAGTACCATTCTGCTGCTGCTTCTAATGACTCACAGTGACTCAACAGCACCCAGTTTTGAGTTGCATATCTGTCTGAAGTCCCCAATTTAGCACACTGATGGTGTGACACAGCATGGAGGGAATTCTCAATGGGAAGGCGGGACTTCATCTCCACAAAGACTTTTGAAAGATGTTGAAATGGATCATCCACTTGGGACTTATAGTTAAACGTTGCAAATGTTTCAGTCTTATTTTTGTCCTGATATGTTGGGCTCCCCATCATTAACGATGGGGATATTTGTGGAGTCTCCTCTTCCTGTGAGTTCTTTAACTGTCAACTACCATTCAAGACTGGATGTTGTACGATTACAGAACTTAGATCTGATATGTTGACTGTGGAATCGCTAAGCACAGTGCTTACACGTTTTGATATCCTCAGAGTCTTGTGTTGTAGCTGTACCAGTTTGACACTATTTTTTGGTATGCCTGATGCTACTCCTGGCATGCCTTCCTGCACTGTTGATCCCCTGGTTTAAATGGAATGGTAGATTAGTAGACCAGGTCATTGAGGAATACTGATTACTGAGGAGTGGCAGGGGTTCCTTGCCCATTGCTCATCCCAGAAGACTACATGGGGTCCCAAGACAATGTTGAGGACTCACAGGGCAAACTCCCTCCTGATTGTATACTACTGTGCTGCCACCTTAGCTAGTGAGACAGGACACATTTGGGAAGGTGGTGTCTAGGGCTCCTCTGATGCTGCCTGGTCTGCTGTGATTCTCTAGCTCCACACTATAATGTCAACAGGACTGAGTTTGCCACAGTCATTTCTGGTGCCTAGATTGATGTTGGCTGATCCATCTGGTTTCTTTGTTTTGTTAAGACTTTTGTAGTGACTTGATACAACAGAGTAACTTGCTAGGTCATTTCAAGAGGCATTTAAGAGTCAATCACACTCATGTGGTGTTGAGTCACATATTGACCAAATCAAGTAAGGATGGCAGATTTCCTTCCGTAAATGGCATTAGTGAATGCAATGAGATTTTATGTCAATCAACAATGGTTTCATGATCACTGATAAGATCGTAATTCAAGAATTGTTAAATTCAAATTCCATCACACAATGGGATTTGAACCCAGGTCCCCAGAGCAGTGTTGGGGTCTCTGGAATACTAGTTCAGAAACAATATGACTACACCATCTCATCCCCCAAATCTATTCTTGTGATGCTGACTGAGGGATAAGTATTAAGCAAGACAGGAGAAAACAACTCATCAAAAATAGTGCCAAGAAATGTTTTACATCTGCTTAAGAAGGCAAACTGGCTTTATTTAACATGAGAGGTGATCTTATTGGACCATACACTGTCAAACATTTGGAGGGGGTTTGATGGAGTGGATACTAGGAAGATGTTTGCTCTTGTGGGGAAGTCTAGAATCAGAGGACATTTAAAAATTAGGCGTCTCCCTGACCTATTTAAGACAGAGATGAGAATATCTTCCCCTCAGAGGGTCATTAGTCTTTGGAATTCTTTTCTTCAGAGCACAGTGGAATCATTATTGAAAATATTTAAGGATGACTTAGACAGCTTTTTAGAAAATCGTTCTTGGGATGTTGATTTCACTGCCCATTCCTAACTGCTAAGTGGACAGTTAAGAATAAACCAGACCAGGTAAGGACAGCAGATTTCTTTCTCAAAAGAACATTAGAGAATCAGATGCATTTTCACATCAACATGGTCACCATCATACTAGTTTTTTTTATTGCAAAAGAACTTCTCCCAGAAATTTAAAACAAAATACTACAGATGTGGTAAAACAGTGCTGGATTAATTCAGCAGGTCTAGCAGCGTTTGTGGGGGAGAGAGAAACATTCTGAATTTTCCAGATCCTGTCAGATCTCCCAACATGTAAAGGGTTTTGCTTTCTCCCGAGGTTAACATGTTATTTAAACACCAGGTTTTCGACCTTTACACTGACGGTTATACGCATCTATAAAAGTCAACTATGTAGTCACCTTCTTTCCAGACTGAAGCTGCCAACTTTCTTCTCTTGACAGCTGTCCAACTACTGAATGTTGCCCTCGATTCCAGGTCACTTTGGGCCTAGTCAGACTAGGATGGACCGTCAACGGGCGCTGCTCAGATCCTTCTTCCTCCTGACCGAAGACGTGACGATTTGTTTGCTGTACCACTTAACACATCAGCCGATTTCTCAGCACACCACCTCCTACCTTTCCTCAAACATGTTTCAGCCTTTCCCCGGCCAGCCGCTTTTTTTATCCCCGTCCCTGGCCCCGCCCCTTCTTCCAATCCCAACCGTCAACAGCTCGTGGCCGAGCTGGCGGAAGTGACGGCGGGTTGCCACGGTGACCCATCCGGTTTCGTTTCCGCCGGTTATCCTGGTGAAGGCCGCCGGAGCTGGCGATGGTAACATTGGCGGAGCGGAGGCTGCGGCTGGACGCCGCCGGCTCGGCCGGTTTCTGGGCCGCGCTCGATGTATGGACGCGGAAGCCGCAAGTGGCGAACCGGCGGCTCAGCGGCTGCTGCCTGGTGGCCGAGAGGGAAACACGCTGCTCCGTCGCGGGGCTAAGGCCGCTTCTGGAGGAGCTGGTGCCTGGATTAAGGGTCGAGCTGGACCGCAAAGTGAATGAGATTCTCCTGGCAGTGACGGGGGAGCGACCTGGGGATAGACTGAAGGTGACACTAAGGACTGTGATTCCCAAAACACAAGCGGAGAACTGTAGAGAAATAGTCATCCAAGGTAGAATGATTCGGGGGTTTGTGTGGGGGAAACTGCAGAAACCCAGATATTCGGGCATTTCTGCATAATCGTACGGAGTATGAGCATTGCTGAAAAAAAGAAACATTTTATCGAAGCTTTTCAGCTTGTCCTCGTTACATATAAAATCTGGGTCTCTCTTTGGGTATTCTTGCGAATTGTCCTGATGGATGCCAGACAGAAAGGCTTTGACAACATGTCTATTTTCAGTTACTTGTACACGTTGTACTCGAATGTGGTCACACACCTTTGGGTAGTGGCTTCTGATTGGGTCTGGGACAAGTGAAGTGACCCCAGGACTGCAGGAGTCTTAGTCCTTATAATAATCCAACAGGCTAGAGCTTATTTAAGCTTGATTCGATGAGGTGAAGCATTGCACCAAGGTGGTTTGAGAACAGTGTTAGGGTGATGACGTGGCCCTGCTTGGCACTGTACTGAAAGGCAAACGGGTTGGTGGTGGAGCTATTTATCATTACCACAACTTCTAAGTCATTGTGGAGCAGGTGTAGGATGGTGACAAACTTAATGGTGTAACCAAAATGGAGAAGGATGCTCCATAATGAATAGAAAATCCTTTATTTGTTGAATATCCTTTACTGTTACATATACTCCAGTACAATGGCTGCTTTTAATAGCACCTAGAGGGAAAAATAGTGTTACAGAGTAATAAAAAATATAGATTAGTATGAAATTTGAAAAGTCCAGAATGACAAGTGACCGTAAGTACTTAAGTTCCAGCCTGAATTCCGCAGCCCCCAGAGTGCAAGGCCATGCTGCCTCCATGTGCCAGCCTCTACCCAGCACGGCCTGTTTGCTATGCCATGGAACTCGGCCTGTTTGCTATGCCATGGAACTCTGCCTGTGCTCGCTCGGCTCCTTGATTCCAGTCTCCAGCTGGTGAAGAGAGAAGAGAAGAGAAGAAAAGCAAAGCTACAAAGAGGAGAAGAAAGAAAGGGAAAGGGACTGGCGAGCAGAGGAGTACCTACTGGAGTGTCCTACTCTGCCGCCATCATATTTTCCCAATTGGTGGTGTCAAAGGCCTTTGTAACATCAAAGAAAACCGTGTACAGGGGTAGGTTCTTCTCTGTATAGAACAGTACCACCAATGCTGCCTGCGCAAGATCCTGCAAATCCACTAAGAGGAAAGATGCACCAACGCCAGCATTCTCGACCAGGCTAACACCCCCAGTGTTGAGGCACCACCATTGATCAGCTGCGATGGGCTGGCCATGTCATCCACATCACTGACACGAGACTCCAAGCTGGTTGCCTTAACAACAAAACAATCCTAGGTTGCCAACCACACAGCCAATTGCTACGTAGGTTTCAATTTCAGAACTGTTTATACATCTGCAGCTACTTGCAGTTTATTTTATCTGCAACCTTAGAAAAGCACATTACCTCTTAAAGGGACCACACACTCCTTCTCCCTGCCCCCATCATTTTTATAAACAAATTCTAACATCCTGCCTTCTAATTCACATGTACTCTTCCTGACTTCACAACGGTAAGGAGCATGCTGCCACACCAACACCCCACCCACCCCTTCCCACAACCATCTTCTGCCACAAGTGTAACACAGCCTACGGAAGCCGAATGGTATAACAACCAACAGACTCTCCCTGAGAGTGGAAGAGAGTCATCCTCGTCTATGAGGGACCGCCAGTGATAATGTTTTGTGTGAGGTAGCTGCAGCTGACCAGGTCACTATTGTACAGTGAGCTGTTTGGGTTGGCGGAGGAGTAAATAGGAATGTGGTGGTAGCAAGAGGATAAACACCAACTTTTAACATTAAGAGAGAGAGTCCATTCAACTTGCCTATCTGACACCAGCATTTGGGACCAACATTCCATCTAAGCTGTGCAGTAATGCTTAGAGGTCCTGTGAACACCAAACAGCTCCTAACACATTAATGTACAAATATGGAAGTTGCTGTCACCCATTGACATTGGAGGTCCACCCAGCAAAAACAGAAAATGAGGGGGACCATTTTTCAGGATATCTGTAATAAAGAAATTGCTTTTGGGGGTGCGGGTGGAGGATGTGTAGCGTACTTGGGTACTAATGGCATTGAAACAACTGGGCAAACTACTGAGAAAATTAAACAATTAAGGACTAAATTAAAATAGATAATCTTGGGTGTATTCTCTAGTTTATCTGAGCCACAAGCTTTCACAGCTAGGGATAAACATGCATGACCTGAGCAATGCAGCAGCATAGTTAAATAGTGACCAAGGCCAGGACTTAAATGTTGAATAATATTTGGCATATCCGAATGAAGAAAGGTGGCAGGTTAGCTCTTGTGCCTTGTAGATGATGGACAGGTTTAGGGGATGGTGGGTTATTGGCTGCAGTATTCCTAGCCTCTGACCTTGTCTTGTAGCTACTGTGTTTATGTGGCAAGTCCAGTTGAGCTTCTGGTCAATGGTATCCCCTAGGATGTTGATAGTGGGGGATTCAGTGATGGTAATCCCATTGAATGTCAACGGCAATGATTAGATGGTCATTGTCTGCCATTTGTGTGAAGCGATTGTTACTTGTCACTTGTCAGTCCAAGCCTGGATATTGTCCAGATCTTGCTGTGTTCGTACATGGACTGTTTCAGTATCTGAGGAGTTGTGAATGCTTCTGAACATTGTACAATCATCAGCGAACATCTCCACTTCTGACCATATGAGGGAGGGGATGTCATTGATGAAGCAACTGAAGATGGTTGGGACTAAGACTAGCCTGAGGAACTCCTGCACAGATGTCCTAGAGCTGAGATGACTGACTCACCAACAACCATGACCATTTTCTTTTGTCCCAGGTATGACTCCAACCAGTGGAGAGTTTGCTCCCTGTTACCAATTGATTCTGGTTTTACTATGGCTTTTTGATGCCACACTCAGTTGAATGTAGCTTTGATGACAAGGGCTGTCACTCTCTCCTCAGCTCTGACAAAACAGCTGAATTCCAATGTTTGACAAGGCTGTAGCGAGGTCAGGAGTTGAGTGGTCCTGACGGAACTCAGGCTAGGCATTACTGAGCAGGTTATTGCTGTGCAGGTGGCTGCTTAATAGCACGGTTGATGCCACCTTCCATCACTTTACTGATGTTAGAGAGTAGACGGGTGGGGCGGTAATTGGCCGGGTTGGATTCATTCCGCTTCTTACGTATGGGACTATTTGGGCAATTGTCCACATTGGGGAATTGGATGCCAGTTTTGTAACTATCCTGGGACTGCTGTGCTGGAAGGCTCTTACAAACAAAGGCAGTACATTAATTCTGTGTGACTTTAATCTTCATATAGATTAGGAATGTCAAGTTGGCAGGGTATCCACCAGAAAAAAATAATTTTGGGACTATATTCCAGACAAAACTTTTTGGATCTAACTAGAGACAAGGATCAGGTAATGTGCATTGAAGCAGATTTACTAAATGGCGTCAGAGTAAAAATTCCCTGAGAAAGCACTGCCCATAACTTTTTTTTTACCTGAAGAAGGGTCCCGACCCAAAACATCAACTTTCCTGCTTCTCCGCTGCCTGGCTTGCAGTGTTCCTCCAGCTCCACACTGTTGTCTCTGACTCCAGCATCTGCAGTTCTTGCTATCTCTGACTGACCATACCATGGTAGGTTAGAAACAAATATATTGAACTTGAAGAAGCGTAAGTCAAAAGAAATGAGGGCAATGTTAGTTAAAGTGGACTGGGAAACCAGTTTAGCAGCAAACTGGTTGAGGAACAGTGGCAGCTATTTAAGGAAGCAATTCATGACTTGCAACAAAGATATGTCCCAGTGAGAAAGAAGGATTCGAGGAAGGGATTAGCTAATCATGGTTAATGAGAGAAGATGAGGATAGCAACTACTAGAAAAAAAAATACAATGTGGCTAAATTTTGTGGAAGGCCAAAAGATTGGGAAAGTTTTTAAAAACCAACAAAGATGATCAAAAATGATAAATAGAGAGAAAATTAACTTTAAGTGTAAACTTGCCAGTGAAATCAAGACAGGCAGAGTTTCTTAAAAAGTGAGAAAGGCCCAATTAAACATAGGTCCCTTAAAGAATAATGTTGGGGAAATAACAGGAAACCTCTGGAACCTTCCTCCCCCCAACCCACCTCTAGGGTATTCACCAGCCCTCATAACATTCCTCTCTCCGATGCTGAACATATTGTACTCAGCAAAGGTCTCAGCCTTATCCCTCTGCGTCCCCACCTTAATGAATTTCAGGCACGACATGACGTCGAATTCTTTCATTGTCTTCGTCTCCATGCCCATTTCTTTGGGCAAGATTCCTCTACCCATCTCACAGACCCATTCATCCAGCTCCACATTCTCCCTCCACCTGAACCCTTCCCTCTGGCCTTTTACCTACACTCAATCTGTTCATTGAGAACTGTCGATGTGATATTGATCACTTCAATTTCTCTGCCTCCCTAACCCAATCCAACCTATCTCCCTCCAAACTGACTACAATCCATGCTCTTAAATACAGCCCTGACTTTGTTATTAAACCTGCTGATAAGGGTGGTAGTCTGGCATACTGACATCTACATTAGAGGCTGAGCCCCAGCTCTCATACCTCTTCCTATCTACCCTGGACCGTGACCCCACCACGGCATATCAGGCCATTGTATCAACAATGGTCACTGACCTCATTTCATCTGGTGATCTCCCCGTCACTACCTCCAAGCTGATAATTCCTCAGCCCTGCACAGCTCACTTCTACCTCCTTCCAAAAATCCACAAGCAGGAAAATTGATGTTTTGAGTTGGCACCCTTCTTCAGGAATAAATAGAGAGGAGGGGTGGGGCTGGGGAAGGTATTTGGGATGGCGATAGGTGAGTGCAGGTAGTGTGTGGTGGGGATTGGCCAGTAAGGTGGGAGGGACGGATAGGTGACACCACATGCAAACTGGAGGAGCAGCACCTCATATTCCGCCTCAGGAGCCTACAGCCTGATGGCCTCCACATGGAATTCACCAGTTTTAAAATCTCCCCACCCCCGATCTCATCAAGTCCAATCCTCCCTCTCATCCCTGCCTCTTTGACCTGACACAACCTGTCCATCTTCTCTTCCACCTATTCATCCCCCCCACCAACTTCATTGAGCAATCCCCACCACTCCCTGTCCGCACTCACCTATCACTACCCCACCTACCTTCTCCAGCCCCACCCTTCCTCTCTCTCTTTATTTCTCAGCTCACTTCCCCCCCCGCCTCCCCACTTCTGAGGAAGGGTCCTAACCCGCAACATCAACTTTTTGCTCATCTGATGCTGCCTGGCCTGCTGTGCTTCTCCAGCTCCATACAGCATCTGCAGTTCTTGCTATCTCACAATCTAGCCTTCTGCATTCAATGCTCACGATATGGTCTTCTGTACACTGGGGAAGCGTAGACTGGGTGACCGCTTTGCAGAACATCTGTGTTCTGCCTGTAACAAAGACCCTGACCTTCCAGTTGCCTGCCACTTTAACACACCACCCTGTTGCTTGGCCAACATCTCTGTCTCAGGCTTGCTGCACTGTTCCAGCGAAGCTCAACGCAAGCTGGAGGAACACCTCATTTTCCGCTTGGGGATCCTGCAGCCCTCCGAACTCACTATCGAATTCAATAATTCTAGGACCTGAACTCTCTCATGTCCTAGCCCCCTACCCTGTACACTATGCCTTGTTATCACATAGTCTGCCATGACACACTACCTATTGTTAACTGCTAACAGTCTCCAATAGCAGCTATTCACTATCCTAACCTGATAGTTATCCACTCCTTTCTATCCACATGTTCTCTCTCTTTGGGGTCTATGCCCATACATTGTTTACTCTTTACCTCTCTCACTCTATCTTCTGCATATAAGCCAATGTTTTCCTAGCTAAGATAACAAGGTGTAGAGCTGGATGAACACAGCAGGCCAAGCAGCATCAGAGGAGCAGGAAGGCTGATGTTTTGGGCCTAGACCCTTCTTCAGAAATGGGGGAGGGGAAGGGGGTTCTGAAATAAATAGGGGGAGAGAGGGGGAGGCGGATAGAAGATGGATAGAGGAGAAGATAGGTGGAGAGGAGACAGACAGGTCAAAGAGGTGGGGATGGAACCAGTAAAGGTGAGTGTAGGTGGGGAGGTAGGGAGGACGGACAGGTCGAGGGGACGGGATGAGGTTAGTAGGTAGGAGAAGGGGGTGGGGCTTGAGGTGGGAGGAAGGACAGGTTAGGGAGGCGGGGATGAGCTGGGCTAGTTTTGGGATGCGGTAGGGGGAGGGGAGATTTTGAAGCTTGTGAAGTCCACATTGATACCATTGGGCTGCAGGGTTCCCAAGCGGAATATGAGTTGTTGTTCTTGCAACCTTCGGGTTTTCCTAGCTACTGTCAGTTCTGAGGAAGGGTCACTGGACCCAAAACATTAATTCTGATTTCTCTTCACAGATGCTGCCTGACTTGCTGAGCTTTTCCGGCAACTTCTGTTTTTGTTTTTAATGCTTTACATCAATCATTATAGTTGAATACACTAGTAGCATTCCAAAAATTACTGAATCAAATATCAAAAGTGAGAGGAGAGGTAAATAAGTATCACTAGGGTAACTCATGGGCCTAAAGGCCAGTAAGTCCCCTGGACGTGATGAGATGCATCCAAGGATATTAAGAGGCACAGAGGGATTTTCTTATGATGGGTTGTGGCGTAGGTTGGGCCTGTGCTCTTTGGGATTTAGATTAATGAGCAGAAGCCTAACGGAAACATACAAGATTCTTAGTGTGGATAGAAAGAGACTGGTCCTGGACTGTTGTACAAAGGGAAACAGACTGCATAATCTGAATAAGGGGTTATCAGTTAAGGTAGATGAGAATTTATTTCTCTATGGAGTACGAATTATTTACTACAGAGGGCTGTCGAGGCTGAGTTGTTAGGAATATTCAAGGCTAAAGTGGACAGAATTTTAACTAGTATGGGAATCAAAGGGTTATGGGGTAAGAAGAAGAAAGTGGAGTTGAGGCTTATCACATCAGTCATGATCTCATTGAATGGCAGAGCAGACTTAATGTGCTTGATGATCTATTTCTACTCCTGTGTCATATACTCTTGAGAGTAGAGACAAATGGGTTTTTTTCACATTGGCAAGTTGTAACTAGTGGTGTGTCACATGGATCAGTGCCAGGGCCTCAACCATTTGCATCCTACATCAGTAGTTCCCAACCTTTTCAGTATCCAGGCACACTTCAAAGAGATATTAAATTAAATGGCACACCTATGTCTATGCTTTCGGAAGTCTACACATGCTGGTGTCTTTTGTGTGTGCAGTCATAGGGTGACTGGGGTCAGCAGATACTGCAGTCAGTAATAGATACCGAGGCTGCAAAGGAGATTGCAAGCATGAGTATAGGCTTAACATTCAGGTAAAGCATTGCTGCTTCAAGAAAATTTTGTGGCTCACTTCTTATCTTTTTGCACCACAGCTGCATCAGTTTAAAATCACTGATCTGTATCAATAATTTGGATGGGGGCCAGAATGTATGGTCACCAAATTTGCCAATGACACTAAGTTAGGTGGGATAGTAAGTTGTCAAGAGGAGGTAGAGACGCTGGGAAGAGAGAAAGATAGTTTAGATGAATAGGCATTTGGCAGGAAGAATAGAAAAGTGGTACGTTATTAAAGTGGACAGAAGTTCTGTGTGGGTGTCCTATCACTTGAAGGTTTGTATGCAGATACAGCAAGTGATCTGGAAGGCAAATACAACATCAATTATTGCAAGGGGAATGGAATATAAAAGCAGGGAAGTTACACTGCGACTGGACAGGACACTGTTGAGACCACATTAGGTGTACAGTTTTGGTCTCCTTATTTGCATTAAAGATATCAATGCTTTGAAAGCAGTTCAGTGTAGTTACACTCAACTCCTTCCTGGGATGAAGGACTTGTCTTGTGAAGAAAGGTTGCACACGTAAGACCTATACCCATTGCAGCTTAGAAGAATGTGAAGTGATCCTATTGAAACATACTAGATCTTGATGGACTGAATACAGTGAATATCTGAAGATATGAGGAAGACTAAAACTTGAACATGTTTTCTTTTCCCAGAAGACTTTCTTTTCTCACAAAGGGTTATTAGAATGTGGAATTTCTTCCTCATAAGTTGTGGAAGTTGAGTTTTATGTAGATTTTAGATAGATGAGGACATCAAGGATTTTGGGATGCAGACAGGAAAATGAAGCTGAGAACATTGAATTGAGGAACAGGTTTGAAGGACCAAATGACCTGTTACTGTTCCTAAATCTTGCATTCCTATCTAATTTATATAGAAAATAACAATGACCACATAAGTAAAAGCATTTTTATGTAGTAAGTGATTAGGATCATGCCACAAAGGATGGTGGAGGTAGGTTCAATTGAGGCATTCAAGAGGATTTTGTTTATTATCTGAAAAAGAAAAAGATGCAGGACTGTGAGAAGACTGTGACTTTGTAATTCCTCGTAATTCATAATTTCTGCTCCTACTTCGTGAATCTATAAGTGCCAGAAGGTAAGTGGCTCCTTGGAGAACCAGTATAGACAGGACGGGGCTGAATGGCCATCTCTTGTGCTGCAAACACTCAGTGATTCTGTTTGAATCACTCTCCAAGAATGGGCAACCAAGGAATGTGCAGAATTGTCACTGTATAGTTCTTCTTAAATTAGCAAATTAAAATATAGTTCTCTCAACTGACATTCCCTGTTCATCGGGCATAGCAAAACCAAAACTGCTATTTCATCTGCTTGTCAAATTTCAATGTGGCTTACGACAAGGAATTCAAAGAAATAGAACCTATAGTACAAATCTCTGTTCATTTAAATAATATTTTAATAAAGAAACAGTAAAATGATGCTTCAAATTATAATAAAAAATCTGATCATAATTGTGTAAATTTACAGATCAAGCATGATTGCAGGTGTCAGTAACATGGCAGCTGAGGCAGCTTTGTGCAATGATGGTGATCTAGGTGAATTGGATTTGAGCATATAATGTATTTTGTGTACAAAATTCCATGACCTTTGGCGTAAAAGAATCAGAAATCAAGACGACACTGAAGGACGCTGTCACGTCTTGAAAAGAGCTGTCCGTTTAGTTCCACATCTTTGGACTTTCTGTACATCCATATAAATTTTCTCCCTTTTGTGTGTGAATTTTGAAAACTGTTATTGAATCTCCTATCATTCTTTCAAGCAGCACATCGCAGACCCACCATCAAGCTTTGTAAACCTCTTGGCCTCATTTAAGCTGCTTTGGTTTTATTCCCCCCCCCACCTCACCAACCCAATTGTCCTAGAACTGTATTCTATCCTCCAGTACTCCTCCCACTGGATATACTTTTAACTTCAACTTTATAAGAACAGTTTATGACTCTGAACACTTCTATCTGTCCTTGACCTATGGATTATCACAAAGAATCCCAGTTTCTCTGTTCCCAGTCTGTAACTGAAGTCTTTTAAAATAAATCTCTGCAGTCTTCTCAGGGCCTTGGTATCACTCGTATGTCTAACAATTGACCAAGTAGCATTGCTAGTGTTTCAGGAAGTATTAGCATAATTTCTTTGCTTTTGTTTCTGTACCTCTCTTAACAAAGACAAAACATGAGATGATTTGTGTAAATAGATCGGAATGGTGAAAGACAAGGAGCTCTGTATTTTGTTCCAGCTCTCTAAGCACAGCATAAAAACATCCAAATTATTAATGCTTCTACTCTGCAGATTTTGAAAACAACACAGCAACATTTATACCATTAGAACGGCATATTGCAGGAAGTTACACTTTCAAGAAGAGCAATATTTACAGCTTTAAACTTCAACAAGTTAAAGGAGATGAATTACTCTGGTGAGTCCCTAGCCAGTCAGCTGTATGTGTGCTGCAGAATTGAGAATTAAGTAAATGTTGAGTCCTATGTTAAAAAAAAAATTAGTCATGAAAATTCCTCTTCAGAAAGAATTTGTAAATCAGTGTTGTTCTGACTGAAGTCAGATTGCTAATTCTTATCTTTGGCCCTTTGTGAACTTTCAATGTAAAGCAATGGCTGAAAGGTTGGTACTTGTCTTTTTAGCAGTCAAGTTGAATCATTTACAAGATTAGCTATGTTGTTTAAATGGAGATGGTATACAGTTTCTAGTAATTCATTGAGGCTTTCCACTGATATTGTGTCTATTTAGTATTCTGTCTATCTGTTATGTTTTACACGCCTGTACTTCAAGTGACGTACATTGGTGCCCCATTACTTTCTTCATACCTTTTTAATTTCTGTGTACCGCTCCTATTTAGGCTGACACCCAAGTTAAAGAACTCCATTTACTCTTTGGAGTGGGTGGCAAGCATACTACTTTGAAACATTCATTAATAACTTTAGGCTTTGGTTCACTGCATATCGTGTTAGCTTCATTTTGACAATGTAGCTATCTTAACTGGACTTGAGACTTGAGTTTTGCTTAGTATTGATGTGGGAAATAGCCTAGATATTTTCAGTTAAAATCAGTTTGTATTTTAACAAGTATTTTTTGTAATAAAACTCCTGTATTTTCTATTTATAAGACATTTATGGTTATTATAAAGAACTGGATAGTCAGAAGCAAAATGGTAGAGTTGTATGAGCATTCCAAAATCATCATCGGTAACTTCAGTAAAAGCCAATGTCTTGTACCATGCCGATTGTAAACCTTCCCAATCCCCTATTCTTTTCTCATGAAATTATTGGGAAAACTATTTTGTTTGTATAACAATGGTTGAAACTAGTTTATTGCAGTCTAGAAATTGCTATTTATCAGTATTTCTGTGGTGTTTAACTGTTTCGTTCTCTGCGCTAAAGGTTTATTTCTGTTTCGACCATGTGCCCTGAGAAGTGGAAAGCAGATGGAATTGTATATCCCAAACTAGCATGGCTCTCAGATGTATTGCTCACAAAGATTGTGAAATGGTCAACAGAGAACATGAAGAATTATTTTAAGAGTACACTTTCTCTCATTTCTGTGGAAAAATATAATGAATGTTACCACCGTCTTAAAGCAAAATACAAAGAAATGGTCAAGGTACAATTTTGAGAACAAAATACCAAAAGTAACTAATTCTCTTTCAATTTAAATTGTATTTATTTTTAAAATCCTGTTTCTTTTTCACTTGTACCAGACATATGTTGACTTTGAGGCGCAGGAATAGTCTGTACTTAGTTTTCTGGCACCCTGTAACTGTTTGATAAGATATGATGAGAATACAATGGTGCCATACATTCTGATTTCAACAATTCTTTATAATTTTGGCGAAAATTGCAGATTGTCGTATGTAGGGGTATTGTTGGTGTTACTCGACAATAGATTGATACCATGATGGCCTTCCCCATGCTCTTTTTTTTCAACAAAAAACCTAAATGCAAAGATTCATATAAGATGTTTTGCCAAAATGGGACATAAACAAGGACTGTAAATTTGTTAGTAATGTTTGAAATTTTCAGTATGAAACCCCCTCCCGCTAAAAATGTGGTTGATTATGGCTTTTTGAAAGGGACCCAACAAAACCGATTTTAATAATTTTCAGGGATCTGAGGCAAGTTCAAAGTTAAATCCAGATGAGCTTATTTCTCCTGCTTAGTAAACTGCAATGCTATTGGATGTACAACCTCCTCTGAAATCCTTAGACAGAAACTAAGAAGTCTTCCAGTCAGTCACAACCTTTCTGATGCAAACAAAATATTCAGAGCAAATGGAGGGTCACCTTGAGCACAATACTGTGGCAGTAATAGAGATCAGGACCTAGTCTAGAGGCTGGATAGCCTAGGACTTTTTTCACTAGAGTGTCAGAGGTTGATAAGATAATGAGGGGTATAGATAAGTTGAATGGCAGGTGTCTTTTCCCAAGGGTGGGGGATTTCAAGACTCTGGCATATTTCTAAGGTGAGAGGAGAAAGATTCTTAAAAAGTCATGAGAGGCAGTCTTTTCCTCACGGTGTCGTTCACATGTGGAAAGAGCTTCCACGGGAATTGGTAGATATGGCTACAGTTACGATGTTTAAAAGACATTTGGATAAGCACGTAAATAGAAAATGTTGGGGGAGGAGCATATGGGCCAAGTGTCAGATGATAGGACTAGTTTAGTTTGGGATTATGGTCAGCATGGAATAGTTGGACCAAAGGGTCTGTTTCCAAGCTGTATGACTCTGACTCTAGTCTAATTGCCAGATCTTCCGCACTAGTGGCCAGAATATGCTACAGGTTTGCCAATGTGTGTGAAGCAAGTACGAATTTCTTTAATATCTATCCCTATGATTATCAATATTGTTAATCATAGAAAGAAAGCAGTTATATTAATATAACACTGTTGATAACTATTGGATGTTGTAAAGATACTCAGCCAATTAATTATTTTTGAAGCACTGAAATGCACAGTCACTTACAATTTACTAAGTGTGGTATGACATTAAAATTACTAAAATAATTGATTTTAAATGGTTCTGCATATTTATTAATTTTTTTAAAATCATGTAACTTACTTGAATGTAATGTAGTTGGCTGGAGTTTCCGCACAATACCTACCCAGGTATCCATGAATCCAGACGCAAATGAAACAATACCTAAAATAGTGACACTTTGAACTTACGCATGTTGTGCTTAACTGCTTTATGATGGATTACCTGCAATGTTCAATGTGAATTGAAGGGTGCATTCATACAAAGAAGAGCCTGTCCACAAACAAACCCTATCCCCATTTAATTCAGATTGATGAGTGTCTGTCTGCCAGTTATGTCCTTTCATGATTGTTCATCACGTGGCATACAGCAACTCGGGTGCACAGGCATCTGTGACTTCATGAATCCAGTATTAATCACTTCTACCTACAGTGAGCTGCAATCAATTGAAACCTGACCCAGATAATTTTCTTTGGGTTGATTACTTCCTTTGATGAAATTCCACAGCTCTTTGTGTCAAACAGTTAACGGCTGTTTTGCATTGTCATATATTTAAGCTCCCTTACTTATTATGGTTTTATTCAATTTTAATTAGATTTGGCCTGAAGTAACGAATCCTGAAAAATTTGTGTATGAGGATGTCGCCATTGCAACATACTTACTGGTAACTTGTTTGAACTTTACAAACCTTGATATGCTGGCATAGCTGTGGGGTCCAGTTTAATATTTAAGCTATTGTCTGTACAGTGTTCCAGAAAACCATTGATAACTATAATCATTGGTCAGCTAGAAAACTTTCTATTTAATCTCTCCAACCCATTGGCAGACTTCTCCTAAACAACCTATAGAGTCATTAAATATTCATGAGGAAAAGCTCAGTTTTTGTTTAGACAGCAAAACAGATTTCTAGTTTTGACCCTTACTGCTATTATATTGCACTTTCCTAATCAATTTGTTTGATCACTGAAGGATGTGAATAAGCACTAGTACAATAAACAAGTAAAGATATGGAGATTTTCTCCAGAATTTTCATGAAGCTCCAGGATATGATTTTATTTCAAGAGGATATTCCACAGAGGATCTTTCCATGGGATAATTAGCACATCAGCCTTTGCTCTCTGAATATTGAATCATCTATGTCTGTAATTTGATGCCTTTGAACTTTTAGTCCTTAACCACCAGACACACTATGCCTTCTGTGAAGGAGCTAATAAATTGACATTAGCTATATTTGATGGTAGGCTGTTTCATATAGTTAGAACTTTGTAGGTGTGAAGAAGAAATCTGATTTTCAGTCTTGATTTTAGATTTGTACTTTTTTATTCTCCAGTTGTATTGCAGCAGTTTGTTTGAGTTGTACATTGTATATCTCCTGATCTTCCAACATTTTATTATTGTCATCCAATATTAATAATACTTCATAGTCAGAGTGTGCAAGGCAGTCACAAGGTTTCAGTTATGCTCCTAAAATTTATTATTTCTCTAAGAAAATGTCCAAATATTGAAGAGAGACATTACATATGATCATGCAAAGTTATACTACAAAATTTGTACTGTCACGGAATGCAACTTCACTAGCACAGATACATATTAATTGTAACAATCTTGGAATTCAGCAATGTGATAGCTGAATTAACATTCTTCAACATTTGATATATTTTTCAAGCACAAATTCAAACTCTGAGCAGAGGAACAAGAAGCTAGGCAAATTAGCCCCTTGATCTCTTCTCCATTTGTTGACATCATGACCAAATCTGCAGCCTAACTTTATATATCTATTATTACCCCATATCCATTAAAATCTTTGGTTAACTCAAATCTTATCAAACTCGGAAGTGAAATTTGCAATTGATCTTGCATTGACTACTTTATTTTTTTGCAGAAGAGATCTGCAAACTTCCTACATTTTGAGAATGGCAAAGTATTTCCTAATTTCACTCCTGAAAGATCTGGCTATAATCTTTAGACTGCTCCCTTGTCCTAGATTTCACAGCTAGCAGATATAGTTTATTTTTATCTACTGTATGTTTTTCCCTGAAGATCTTGAAAGCTTTCATCGATTCACCCCTTAATCCTCAATTCCAGGAAATACAATACTGGTTCCTATAATGACATCAATTAACCTTTGGAGTCCAGGAATCATTCTGGCAAACCGACACTTCATTCTCTCAAAGAGCATTTCTAGTCCACCTGAAGGAGGAGGTATTGCTGATTCTGGGCATTAGGTGGATCAAGTACCTTTAGGGTAATGGTGTCCAGCCTACAGCCTGTAGGGTGATACAACCGTCCAGAGCATTTCATAGGACCTGATGTCTGCTGCACTGGTAGATGAATTTATGGTTCATTCATAGAGTTCCTGTAGTTAATAGTTAAATAACCTTGCACAAGAAAGATCATTGACCAGGAAATTTTTTTGAAGTTTGTTGTGATTTATTTTTGAAGCCATATTTTCAAATACAGTAGAAGTGGGAGATCTTTCATGAACCTCTCCTCCAGTCAGAGGCCCTTTCTGTCCCATGTGTTCTGCTGCAGGCTTACTGGGAAAAAACCAGTTTGTGATCGACCCATTGTCTCCGCCTGCTCCTGCCCCACCGAACTGATCTCCAACTATCTAGACTCCGTTTTCTCCCCCTTGGTCCAGGAATTCCCTACCTTTGTCCGTGACACCACGCACGCCCTCCACCTCCTCCAGAACTTCCAATTCCCCGGTCCCCAACACCTCATCTTTACCATGGACGTCCAGTCCCTCTACACCTGCATTCCCCATGCAGATGGCCTTAAGGCCCTCCGCTTCTTCCTGTCCCGCAGGCCCGACCAGTCCCCCCTCACTGACACCCTCATCCGCTTAGCCGAACTCGTCCTCACACTCAACAACTTCTCTTTCAATTCCTCCCATTTCCTACAGACAAAGGGGGTAGCCATGGGTACCCGCATGGGCCCAAGCTACGCCTGCCTCTTTGTAGGTTACGTGGAACAATCCCTCTTCCGTACCTACACCGGCCCTAGACCCCACCTCTTCCTCCGTTACATTGATGACTGTATCGGCGCCGCCTCGTGCTCCCATGAGGAGCTCGAACAGTTCATACACGTCACTAACACCTTCCACCCCAACCTTAAGTTTACCTGGACCATCTCTAACACCTCTCTCCCCTTCCTGGACCTCTCTGTCTCCATATCGGGCAACCACCTAGAAACCGATATTCATTTCAAGCCCACCGACTCCCACAGCTACCTAGAATACTCCTCCTCCCACCCACCTTCCTGCAAAAATGCTATCCCCTATTCCCAATTCATTTGCCTCCGCCGCATGTGCTCCCAGGATGAGGCATTCCACTCCCGTACATCTCAGTTGTCCTC